GGCATAACAGGCGTAAATAACAACATAAATTGGCGTAATATATAATTTGTAGAATGATGATTTGTTGAAATGCGTATTTGGCGAGATTCATGTATGAAATTGCGCGAAATGACGGTCATCTTCTCGAAGACTACATTCTGCGATATTTATTTTCAATTCTAACTCGTATATTTATTTATTTACATCATAATAATCTCACTATATAAAACGCGTATGAGCATATAGTATTTATTACTTAGACTTAAAGTATGCATAAAATAGATAAGAGTAACTAAAAGCAACAGGTGTACCAACGCGTCAGATGACGCGTGAAATTGGCCACGCGATTCTTGAATTCCCTTCCTTCCGTTCGAAGTTCGTACGTAGCGCTAATTTCTGAGATGTCTCGAGTGTCGCGCGATAGTTCAGCGCGAATGCAGTTTTTCGCGATAATGCACGTTTATAATAAAGTAATATAATAAAGCTCGCTTCGCGCACGCGGGAGTGCCGTGAAAAGTGTCGCGCGACCGTTGTGATAATTAGTAATCGCGCGATCGTAATTAACCTCGTTCTCGCGAGTGTATGATACGTGAAGTGCCATGAAAAAGCAGCGGGACACGAGAGAGGGAGAGGAGGAGGAGGAGGCTTGAGAAGGCAACGGTGAAGCAATCATGAGGTAATTTATTATTTATTTATTCTTTTTTACTTGCGCGCAATTAATCATTTATCTCAGCGACAATCGCATATCAAGCATTATGTATGCGTGACTTTGCATTATTGTGTGACGTAATGCACATAGAGTATCTGAGATTTTTTAATTTTTTATTTAAAAAACATATTTTATAATATTTAGACACGTCGTATAAGAAATTATTCAAGTAGATTTTTTTACATAAATTATCTTACAGTTAATGCTAACTATATGTGTTAGTTACATTATAAAATAGATATTAAAAATAATTATATTAATTTTTTTATTATGTTTAAATTATATATTACAAAATAAAAACAGATCATGTTTTTTTGTATTTAATATTTAACAGATTGCATTCCAAATTTTTTATTGCTTGTTTTCTCAAAATATAATTTCCAATCAATATTAATATTTAAAGGTATTTTAGTATTACCATATTGATACAAAAATTTATATAAAAAAATTATACAAAATATTGAAAAATATTGAAAATTTGAAACTGAAATTTGAAAATTTCAAATCTTAAGTAAAGTTCACGTATATTTATATTTTCGTAATAAAAATGTTCGATGTTGTTTTCGAGCAAGAACGATGCGCAAATTGTTCCTATTAATTTCTATTCCATATTAATTGAAACTAGTTCACTGTATGCGGTGTACATGAATAATGATGCAATTGGTTCTAAATACAAAAGGTAAATCTGTTAAATGTATTAATAGGTGATAATGTTGTAGGATATATTTGTTTTGTTTGCATAACTCGCATGCATATACCTCATACATTAATATCCGATCGATTTCCAATCATTATTCATTATTACAATATTATTGATTTAATTGATTGAAATAAGCTACCTTGAGGATTTCGTTAATTTTACATTAACTATTTTTTTTATTAGACGTTTCGCTCGTTATATCTAATCTTTCATTTTTAATATTCATACGACCTATTCATTAATGAAATAAATTCATTGCTAATTACTTTAGATTTTACATTATAATTCATATATTATAATGTGTCAAGATAATTTTCCTCATTAAAATTCCCGATCTCTTGACTCAATTTAATTAAAGATAAGAGTGCGGTTAATCTTGTAGTCAATCGAATATCGCAAATCAAATATTTACAGATGTTATATATATCTATTTAATTGATATAATCAGAAATTTTTATTGACATATGCTGAATTTATTAGCATGATAATTAATATGTCAAATTTTTTATTTCCGATATTTCTGTCACTGATTTGTTAACGAAATAAGTTTCTTAAAATTAGATATATAAAACATGTAATGAGCAAAATGACTGATAAAAAAGCAGACGGTGCGCTTAAAATTAACAGATGATTTTTGAAAATTAAATATATCAAAATTAATCAAAGATATTGCAAAAATAATAAAAACTTTAAAAATATGTAATTCTTATGGTGAAAATAACAAATTAACGGTGATAGTTGCAAACTAAGATTATCCTCAGTAATTTGTGTAAAATACTGGAGGGTAGTCGTCGACGCAAGTATGTATCGCTTATATCAAACGCATAATCCGAAATATAGTTGCTCGAAATGTGTTGAATTGTGAAAACCATAATAATTCAGTCTGGAACACTGAAATCCCCGGCGGCATTAAGTTGAAATAAGAGGGACGACGAGGAAGAAATATAAATGTAAATATTAATACAGAGAGAGTTGGGCTACTATATGGATCTTAAGAACCGAGGGGAGACTTCCTCCACGAGCTTGCTTCCCTAGCCTCTTTCGTTCGCTCAAATATTTAATGGATTCGGCTAGATCCACTCTTAGCTTTAGCTATATTCGTGTAACTTTCGTATGTGTATACATTGAGTTCGTGTGCTGTTCAATTTATATACGCACATACGCTATACGCTTGCGTGATTCTGCGAAAGCTCGAACTGCGTCCTTGCGAGTCGGAGTTGAATCACATTTCAGCGATATAGGAGAAAAATTTTTTTATGCTTACAATCAAATAGAATGCATCAAATCAATCAATCAATGTGTGATCCATGAAACAAGGGAAAATATTATATTTAAAAGTATAACAAAATGAAAAATATTTCTAAATTATTTAAAATTTTTATTAATAAAAGTTTTAAATATGATGTGTGTATGTATGATAGAGTTATGTAAAAATATATTATAAACAAAGCAAGAAGAAAAAGAGAGAGCGAGAGAGAAGTAGGAAATAGATACATATGTAATTATATAAAAAGACATTCTTCCTGTTTTTATATTATTTTTTTAATGCAAACCAGTTGGTAAATTATAATAGCTTTGCATAGTTTGTAATATCACTGCATGCTATCCATATTTTTTTATGTGATTGCAATTAAAAGTATTTTGCTCGCATCGAATGTCGATGTCAATATAAAATCACTCCGGATACTCGCGACTGTTGTGTTGAAGCTCGAGGGAAGCGCGGTTCGACGAGAGAGCGAAGGAACGAACGAAAAACAGTCTTTAATTATTTGCGATCGGCTCGGGCGAGTCCCGCGGGTGTGTTCCGCCGAGTTCGACGGAGAGTTAATTAATCCCGCGGTATAATTAAAGCGCCGTTTCGTCAGACCGAGGGATGAAGGGAAAGGGGGTAGAAGGCGGGCCCGCTGCAAGTTAAACTCTACGAAGATCAAATTGTGAATCCGAGGCTGTCCGGGATCGTCCGGCGATTCGCCAGGAGAGGGAGTAGAAAGGAAGTGGACTCTGCGACACGACAGGGGTAGCCGGGGGGGACCGATTTAATTAAATTCTAACGCTTTCGGAGAAACGCGCGCGCGAACGTGCGGCGTCGATCGTGCACCGATATCTCCGATGATTTTTCCCCTCTCTTTGTTCCTCTTTCCTCCCTTCTTCGGAATCATAGTGATTGCAATTAAATGTATTTTGCTCGCATCGAATGTCGATGTCAATATAAAATCACTCCGGGTACTCGCGAAAGCGTCTGTTGTGTTGAAGCTCGAGGGAAGCGCGGTTCGACGAGAGAGCGAAGGAACGAACGAAAAACAGTCTTTAATTATTTGCGATCGGCTCGGGCGAGTCCCGCGGGTGTGTTCCGCCGAGTTCGACGGAGAGTTAATTAATCCCGCGGTATAATTAAAGCGCCGTTTCGTCAGACCGAGGGATGAAGGGAAAGGGGGTAGAAGGCGGGCCCGCTGCAAGTTAAACTCTACGAAGATCAAATTGTGAATCCGAGGCTGTCCGGGATCGTCCGGCGATTCGCCAGGAGAGGGAGTAGAAAGGAAGTGGACTCTGCGACACGACAGGGGTAGCCGGGGGGGACCGATTTAATTAAATTCTAACGCTTTCGGAGAAACGCGCGCGCGAACGTGCGGCGTCGATCGTGCACCGATATCTCCGATGATTTTTCCCCTCTCTTTGTTCCTCTTTCCTCCCTTCTTCGGAATCATATGAGGAATCAGCGTGATCTGGTCCGACGCGTGAGATCGTTGGAAATTATTTCTTTCGTCGTTACGCTCCCTCTGTGTTTTCGCGTGTGACGGGCTAAAGCTCGTCAGCGACGATATTGCGTTCTGACGAGGACCTGGAAACGCACGCGAGAACGGAGGAAGAGGGTGAGAAAGGGGAAAGGGGCTATCACAGGGGGGAATTTCACGGCTCGAAGTGGATTGAAAGTTTTTGATGTTATTGGATGCTGGACGTCAATTTTGTCGTTGTGCCGAATCGCGGCCGTTAATCGGCATTCTGTCGCCGCCACGTCAATAACGAGTTCGATAGAATTACGAGCCGACAAAGGTTTCCGTATTATTACGAAATTATATCGTAAATCTGATCGTTTGCGTGCTCTACGCCGTGGAATATGCTGTTGGAAAAATATTTGTACGTGTTCTATGGCGAAATTCTATTTCTGATTTTTCCACGTCTCGCACACACACACACACACACACACACATACACACATACACACATACATATATATATATATACACACACACAGCATAAATATGGGATGGATTGTTACCGATTTTTATATTTTCCGCGTTGTACAGTTTTCGTGAATAAATTATCGACAAACTCATTTATTACATCTGGAAAAATATTTGTACGTGTTCTATGGCGAAATTCTATTTCTGATTTTTCCATGTCTCGCATACACACACACACATACACACATACATATATATATATATACACACACACAGCATAAATATGGGATGGATTGTTACCGATTTTTATATTTTCCGCGTTGTACAGTTTTCGTGAATAAATTATCGACAAACTCATTTATTACATCGGTTTAAAATTGGAAATCTGTCTTCTTTTATTTTTTATTTTTATATTTCGATATAATTATTATTTTGTTGTGAAAAACGTGTCTTTTCACAATCTACAACTGATATTTATAATATATTTAAATATATGCCATACACAAACTAAAATAATTTTTTTTTTCTATTTTTTATTAATATATTTTTGTTGTAAATAGCACAATTGATAATTATGTGTTGCGTGCACGATTGTTGTAGCATAAATTATATCAATAATGTAATTTATATAGAAGATTATGTGCGCATTTAAAATAAACGTTGCATGCACAAAAGATTTATATATCACCATATGCTCTCTCCTCTAGTGCCATATTTCTGATAATTCATATAAATGTGATAAAGACGCATATATAATATTATAAGCGCGCAAAGTGTTCTTGGTTCAAACGTTTCCATGACATCATCGTGGTTGGCCTAATTTTAATCATGAAAGGACATACTCGCTGTGACCACAAACACAAATTAATTACGATTAGAGTGCTATCTATAATCATAAAAGCTCTGTCCAGCGATAGCTCTTGATCTCATACGTCGTGAATAATCGAATACATCCAATGATCGTTGAAATTTCCTCTTGATATGCACGAAGCAATTTTTCAATCGAAGAGCAATATTTTCGCATTAAAATCGTGTGGAAGCTGAGGAAAAAATGCAGGCAGGTAGAAAAGGGGGAAGGGGTTTTTCGCGCAATCCGCAGCGATGCATATATCTCGTTATTTTCATAGCAATATCTCGCGCCTGATTTCCGTGATATTTATCCGCCTGTCTATTTTCAACGACGTAATTTACACCTTACCCAGGATTCGCGATGCGTACGCACGCACGCACTGTTTTTCTAGTCCAATCCATCACACGTACGTGTGCATAATATGTCCGTTTGTCGTATATAAGCGACATAGTTGCATAGGCGCAGGCGCGACGAGATTCATCGTCGCGACTCGAAAACGACGGACGTTCGGCACGCCGTTCAGTCGAGCACCGACGTCGACGACGATGACATCGTATCTCACCCTGTATCAGGGCGCCATCCCTATCTCGTCACCGCGCCTCGCCATGTGATCGTCTTGCCGTTCGAGGGCACGTTCGATTATGAGCGATTTATGATGGTGCATGTGCGCGCGAGAAAGATGCATTGACCATCGTTGAAACTCGCTCTTTTATACGTATCGGGGCGGAAAATGTTCCTCACCAATGATTTTTCTACGACGATTACGATGATTAATAAATCTCTGCGAGCGTAGCGATCGAGAGAGACTGATATATCGAAGGGCGACGTGAGAAATGGCAGGGCACGTCGGTGGATGGAACCACGTGCGAGCAATCCATGTCAAAAAGAACGATAGGATTTTTCTACGATTCTTGACGACGCGGTGTTGAAGTTAAAGGGCTACTCTTGGTGCGTGGAAACGGTAGTGCTTACGGAGCATGTGAGACAATGCGGTGGTGTAGTGGTTCCTGCGATCTCCTGCGGCGCGAGTTCTTCGTCCTCCTCGTTCTAATCGGCTGCAGCGATGGCTATCTCAATATATTCATCAGTCAGTCTCAGGTCATGAAGCTCTTAGGTATGTAAAATTGCCACTTGACGTTGATATGGAGGAAATTGTGAAAATGTGATATACGGTCGTAGGAAACTAAATAATGAATGCCGGTACAAACTAAATGTATAGAATTCGCGTTTTTGGACTTTATATATAGATTTATTTACATAAAAAATATATTTAAGCGTGTAGCAAAAAGGAAAAATTTCTACAAAAGAAAAAAAATTAATTGGGTAATACATTCGTGTACTTGATTCAAATTGGTGCCTACTCAATCGTGTTTGACACAATCTGACATTTTTAAATATTTCAAATTTTTTTATAATCTAAAAAATTTTTTTTTTTTAATTTTTTGTTTGTTTGAACGAATATAAGTTTAGCAGTTTTTTTCAAATCTTTTGATATCAAGATTAAAATATGTCTTGGAAATTTGAAAGTAATCAGGAATAAAGTATTTTTCCATTTAATTCATAAAAAGAATTTTAAAAATATAGTTTTATTCTATATAAATTGATTTGCATTATGAATAAAAATTATTTAAAATATATTATAAGATAATACTTTTATAATAATTATACGGTAAATTCTCCACCAATTGAATTTGACGTATATATTCACTTGTATATCTCATCCGACGTCTATCATAAGAAACAGTTTTAATTATATCTGATTTATTAATGGAACAACCTCATCCCTCGCAAGCAATCTTTTCCTCGTCATGCCGTGTCATGCTAACATCGCGCAAGCGCTAGTTACAAAAGCGTTAAAATGCTCGCCCCGTCCTCTCTACTCGGCATTACTTTTTCCATTCAATCGAAACTCGCGCGTACATTTCCGCGTGGCGGTAAACATGAAAAGTTCCTCTTCCATGGCGATGTTCGTTAACAGATCCCATTACAATTGCGCGTCGGGTGCGCAATATTTTCTGAGAGCAAACGAAAGCCGGCGAACGCGCGAAAAAAGAGTTGACAGAGAGAATCTGTGAAACCGGACCATTACTATGTTGCCGCACCGGTGCTTGCGCATAAAGTCACAACCAACGATAAAAACGGAAAAAAGAGAAATAAAACCAACAGAAAAGAATTGTGCTCGAAAAAGCAGCATAGAGTGGAAAGTTAATATTATAAAACTAGTTGAAAAAAAACAGCAATCTCTCGAAATTAATAATGAAGCATGAATAAAAAATAATATAAATTTTTGCAAAATTAATACTGGTTTTAATACTTTATTTTTAGAAATTTAATTGAGAGAGTTTGGCCTTTTCTGAAATGGTTTAAATTTTTTTATACTTTTCAAAATCAATACCGTCAATTAAAAGATAAGTTTTCGAAAACATATGCAATGTGTTAAATATATATTTCTGTTACAAGACCATCGGTAATAATTTTTTTCATTTTACACACACAATTAAAATCGATTTAAAAGTCAGTATACTTTTTGACAGAACTTTTGAAACACTCTACCTAAAACAAGAATACTAGATTCCCGCAAAAATGTTAAGAGAACTTTGAGAACTTAGAAAATGTCTACTCAAGAGTATTGGAAAACTAAGTGTCCTTAGAAAATTGAATATTATTTTTTTTATTTTGGATCAAACAGAGATGCATGCGCGTAACAAGTATTCATGCCAACTAAGCGTCGGAAATTTTTTTTCGTTTTTACATTCATAATTGCGAGCCATTTGTGATTGTACTACTCTTTGTACCTTATCCAATTCTGTCTCTTTAAAGTTCGCATCGTTTTGCATCCCTAGCGTGCAATTAACGCGATTGTAACGTGTCACGGGGGAAAAACTCTCTTTCACGAAACTCGTTGGCGCGCAGTTTTAACGTACACGGGCGGAAAAACTTGGGGTCGTGTGTAGTAAGGAGAAAAGTGTAGTGAGGAGGGGGTGGAGGGATGCATATATCTCGAGGCATCGTGAGAGCGAAACCGCGGGATGACCGACGAAAGAGTGCGAATTAGCGTCCGGGACCGCTTACGGCAAGCGCGCGCGCGGAGTGTCATTTTAGCAATTTGCGGCACGAACCGCTCGTTTTAATGGCCGCCGGTCCATATATCGGGGATCCTGCTATGCATCTAGATAGTCCCTGTTCCATTCGATATCACTTTACGGCCCCGTGATTCATATTCGTGCGCGCGCGAACGCTCGCTCGCGATCCACACCGGACGCGGATCAAGCGTTCTCCACTCGACGTCGGTCGCTGGATTGAACGGTGGCCGGAGGATCGGGGAAAAAAAAAAGGTAAAATCGCTGTATTTACGAGCGGCTGGTCGCTCGTGACTCTTCGAAAATCGAGGCAATCCCGGACGGTCGCGACTCTCCGAATGGCAGAACGTTCCGCTGGTTGCGTTGCGCGTTATAGCGGTACAGATTGCGCACGGCACTTTCATACATTTTACGTTAATCGCGAAATATGGCGCACCGACGACTGTGCGAGAGAGATTGGGGGGAAAAAAAGAGACTGATATAACACGTACAAGTTTAACGACGCGTTTATCCTCTTCGCGCTCTTTGATATCCATGATGGTCCAATTTAATGACGATTTATCCGCTAATAGTGGAGTTAACGTAAGATACGGGAGGTAACGTAGTATTGAGAACATTTAGGTATTTAGATATTTATGGGAGATGCAAGTCTCGTAATATATCGATAAACTGGGCGAGTTTGATTCCTCTTAGTGGGTAACTTCAGCCCGTCTTCGAAGGAATATATAATTAAATTTCGTCGAAATTACATGAGTGGCATAAACACGCATCTGAGATACACTGAGGAGAGATAACAAGGATAAGAGGGATAATAGCGCCAAGAGAAGGCTGATAGGATCTACAGTTTCTGAGATTAAAGACAAGTAGTTGAATATATTAACTCATATAAAGTTATTAAGTTTAGTACTCTACTGAGGTAGTGCTTTAAAACGCTTGATCTTAATAACAAATTTTTGTAGTATATATAAAGTTGATTTTTTCTCAGGAAAACTTTCGAGAAAGGTCATCATCTTTCTCCTTCGCTTTTTAAATGCTTGTCAATAATTATACATTTTTAAAAATTACAGATATATATATACTATATACATAAAGTTTGTCCAATTTTCATTAAAATAAATGTAATTCTCTTCTTTTTTCATTCTTTGTAAAGATTACTGATTTTTATAGTTTTACCATCAATTAGAAATATAAAAGATAAACGTTTTTTAATAGTTAGTTGAAGTTAATGTCCCTATTTGATAGTTTATGCAACATCGAGGAGGTAATGCTAATTTGGTAGAAAGAACGGTGACTTCGTTTCTTGAACGGGTCTATTTTTCAAATGCCCGAACAGCCGCGGATCTTTAGAGAGAGATACAGGGTAATCTTCGTCACATTTCGGATTCCACCGTTGAAGGGGTGGAGTCCCGGGGACTCTACGGGAAAGTGAAAGGGTTGCTTCTAAGAGGAGTAAGCGGTGGGACAAGTTTCGTCGCCGACGCTCTCGAAAGTCACTTAACTTAGATTGCACGAGCGAAATGACTTTACTTCCCCGGAAAACTTCGTTCCGTTGGAAAGGCATCTCTTCTCTGCAAGCACCAAAAAAAAAGGGAGAAAGGAAAAAGAGAGAAGAGAACAGAAGAATAAGAAGAGAAAGAGAAAAATTGAAAGAGAGAAAGAAAGAGCGTGCGCGGAAGGTGGTTGAAAGTGGTGTTACGTACGTAGGGGAGGAGAGAGGCGAGGGAGAGAAAATACTCACTATCACATATACACATGCACATCCTCCTTTTGCGAGAACGAAGATACGAGCCGACTATTACCTGACACCTCCGTGCGGATTCAGCATTTACTTCCGTCGCCGAGTTCGGAACGTTTACACGGGGTTTGCTCTGATTGGGCAGGGGATTTCTCACCATGTGATGAAAGGCGCGGGATGAGTTTGCGCTTTGAAGTAATATCCTTATTCCTCGAATGGAGTTGTCTCTCGGCAACCTGGATTTACTACCAAAATTGCTTCGCGCTAGTCAACTGGTCTCACGGTTTCAACGATGTAGAATGCCAAATCTTACTCCTCTCGACAAAGTTATTTAGAGGCATAATTCTACATAGATAGAATATATATTTTCTTGTTTTTTACATGTTTTATTTTCGTAATGATAAATATAATTCGTATATTTGTGTCATTAAATGAATAGAAGTTCAAAATAAGAAATGAAATGGTTCATTTAGTAAAATTGTTTTATTTTTAAATATGAAGAATTTTGCTAACTTTCGATCAAAATATTAAACAAACTAATAGAGGCAGACTCGTAGGACCGTGTAGTGGACGTTTACCTTACGTATATTGCGAGATTTCGGCAATCGCATTCTCCGCGCAATATGCAGGAACTTTGGGACCGGCGGACATCCTAGAATTGATTTTTAATTTACCCTCGTACACGATGCACGCTCGCTGCAATCGCCTCCGTATGTTTGTCCTGTCTGGACCACGAAACGGTCCGACAAACAACCGACAACGTGTTCATTGCCGACGACTGTCGGACTAGCTTGTGAAACGACCCTTGTCGATTCCCCAGGCTCCGGCCGTGTCGCTGGAAACGACACGAGAAAATCGATTATTCCACAAGAACGCCCATTAAAAAAATAATATTGCGCGAAAAGATTAACGCATGCAATCTATACTCATTTTTGCACATCTCTCTCTTTTCCTTTTGCGTATATTTTTTCCGTTTAACGTTAACTTACAATTGGCTCCATTATTTTTGCGTTATTCAAGAGAAAGAAGTACGAGAGAGAGAGAGAGAGAGAGAGCTAAAGTATATAAATTATACACATTGCTTCAATTTTATATTTTACTTACACTTTTATTTATGTAAATTTTTGAATAATTTAGAATTAAGGATCTTTTATATTTATTTGGATATTTATATATTTATTCATATATTATTGAAAAGTTCATTGGCTACTTTTTCTTTATGATATAGGAGATATAAAGAATCATAAGTCGACGAGAAATGGATATATTTCAGGTCAAATTTCTTATGTGGTTTTGACG